GTTGCTCGAACCCTTCTTTCCCAACGTTTCTCACTCTCGTCTCTGTGGTATATACCGAAGAAGCAAGGGGTCTCGAGAGAGCTAACAACCTGCAATTTCTACCTCCCTCGATAACTATCGCGATGCGAACGCAAGCCCCGACAGTTAAGTGGGCACTGTTGCACATAAACCATCACTGATATCATCCCATACGCGTTCTACGGCTCCAAAAACTCCAAACCCCATCGATTACCCTACCTTTCCGTACCCTAGTTCCCTTTTCTACAACCAACGATCCCTCGTCGTATTTCCGTTTTACAACGGCAGGCATTCTTCAAAAATCCCACGTATCCCACAAATGGCACCATCCTCGCCGTGAGATGGAATTTTCTGATTATTACATCCTTCACACCTCCTCTGGTTACCGAAATCCCTCGTATCCCTCGAAACTTTCGGAGTTTTTAGATAATATTCGCTAAGTCTCTGAGAGATTTACTATGAATATAGCATCTTCGAGGATTGTTCCTTTTATTATGCTATTTTACAAATAACACCATCCTCGTCACGAAACGAAATTATTTGGTTATCAAATTCCTTATGTTCCCTTTGATTACTGAAATACTTTGTATTCGTCGAATCTCTGAATATTTTTAAAGAATATTTGATAATAATCCTCTGATAGATTGACACATTGCTGATGGTGTATTATGAGATGTGTTATTAGGTAAGATTTTTATTCTGATGTGGTTAACATCCGTACCCTTTTAAAAATGATTTTTAGTATTTCTTTTAGTGATAGAGACGTAGATGATGCAATTAGAGTACTCTGTCAGCAGGAGTTTAAAAACCAATGACAACGATTCGCGTCTCTCATGAACAGTGAATTAATGATGAAAAATAAAATTAAACTCGCTCGTGAAATTCTCGTTCTAATTTCCAGTATAATGAAGCATAACACTCCTCAGTTACAACTGGCTTACTCAAAATCCAGGTTCTTCCCTTCCTTGATGCTTATCCTGAGCACTTGTGCTCCATCATATTTTCCATTTCCACCATTTTTCCAGGGGATTATTCTAGCATTCAACCAACTAATCAACCTCCATTTTCCATCCTCAAATATTAGTAGAACCAATCCTCTTTCTCTTTCTCTTTCTCAAAAAGGATAAATTAAAATTCGAGACTTGATAAATTTCTCCTGGCTTACTATCTGATCAATACTATTATCCCAACACTATCATTATTTTAAACCTACTTTAATCTAAATGAGAATATTTAAATTCTTTTATTTAATTCTTATCAATTTCTTCTAATATATACATATCTAATTATTCAAAATTCCCTCTTATTAAGAGTCATTTCTTCATTCACCGATCTTTCGATCAATCATATCGTTAATTGACCAGGTTTAGTATTATTTATTTATTATTATTTAGTAAAAGTACATGCTAAGAATAAACTCCGCATCCTAGCGATGTGGGGATGATCCCTTCCTCTCCATTTTGTTTTTATCATAGTATGTCTTTTGTTTCCAATTTTTCTGAAGACGATTGTGACCTGTGTGGTCCAAATCAATCAGTTCAGTTCTGTGTCATCGTTAAATGAACATATATTCTTCCACCAATTCCGTGGACAGGTTCTTCCAATACATCTCATCAAGTTATTAATCGTCCTCTTGATGAGTAACACCGAGAACATCGTCTCGCAAGTGAAATAACACGATTATTAATTCTTGAAATACCATTCCCGCGATATTATTACTCATCAAGAAGTACCATATTGCTGACCCCGTGCCCCAGGTAAAGCACGATGACATCTTGACCATCATATACACTAAATACTTGAAGTATGGAGCAATAATTTAATTCGTTTTCCCAAAGGGTCTATATAAATGCTAGACCTAGTAGCACGCGACATATGAAAACACACAATATCAAGATGACACAGTCCACTTACTATTCGAAGTCAAATACAATCTCCTCGAAGAATCATCCCTAAGCGTCGTCAAGCAAGAACGACCTAGTGACGATATATAATCCCGGAAGAGTGGCCAAAAATTTGGCAAAACGTGCAGGATCGAGGGTCCTCTTCGAATGCAAAGCGACCTGATTATCGACACCCCGTGGTGAACTAAATTGCAAGTTAAACGCGCCCTCGGAAGTACCTTGCTCCCCGTTGCTTTCGCGTTGGGGTGTGTACCCCTGGCAGGACGTGTTTACCAGGTCGGGGCTTGTTTGCTGGAATTGCGGCCTGCTCGCTTGCGAGCGCGAAAGACCGTTTCGCGTTCCCCGATCGAGCAAGTTGCAGCGCGGAAACGATGTCCAGCTGGACCACAAAGGAGGAGCGGACGAATTAATTCGCTAATTCGATTCCTTTCTGCGGCTGTCAATTGGCTCTACCCGCACGTCCGTTGCACCATCGTTACAGAATAGTATTAACTATCGCCGATCGGCCGCGTAATTGAAGCGTTCTCCCTAGGTCGTGAATGCACGTTCTCGTTGGTGATACGGGATCATTGTCCCGTGCAACTCGACGATGAATTTTCTTCATTGGGTCGAAGGGGTCCGAAGAAGATCCGACAATTTAAGAACCTTGGATAAATCGTTTTGGGTTAGGTCGTTTGGAGATGTATTGGGGTGTATGGAGAATCGTGACAGTTTTCTCAAGTATTATACGAAGAGAGGAGTTATTAACCCTTTGCACTCGAGAGGTGACCCTCAGTCACCATTTCATAAAATTTGGAAGATCGATATTATTTAATATATCAAATTTAATGTAATGTAACAGTGTGCAAGGTATCGAAATCAAATAATTCTACAATTTTATTATTATAAAATTCTTTATTGTTATAAAATTCTAAATTTATTATTATAAAATTCTTATTTGCTCAAAAAAGTATCGTCAGTTTTTTAATAGAGAATCTTTGATTTTCTACTCTTCTCTAGCCAAAAAATCGTCGAGTGCAAAGGGTTAACCTTGCACTTTGAGAATTTTTATTCAACTTTCAAGAACTCTAGGACACTTTTGGTATTGGCACCATCTTAAAATTGAAAATATAAATTTATTTATATAATAATCCTTTTAATATCATTTTCTTTTTTTCTTTTCTTTTGTAATGTAAGTAAGGAAATGAGAATTTTAGGTTAATTAATATTAGACCTGTTATGGGTGAAATGGTCAATCTTTTATTTTCGATTTAAAGCCCTCTCTTTTGGATTAGTGATTTTGCATATGACATACGTATAGTTTGTCTTTCTGAGTATTTATCTCTTCTCTTATTCAGTTCCTTTCATGTTTCATCTATTATAACCGATCATTCGGTGGACTATTTGATCATCTATGTTGTGGTTTGACGATGAGTAATCATGACCTAGAATAGCAAACACTATTGTAACCGTCTACAATTTTGGCATGTCGAGTTTTATGAAATTTTTAGGACACGTGGCAGACTCCTTTTTCACGAGTCATCCAGATACTCGAAATATTTTGAAGCTCTTCGTGTGTCCTAGATAAAGTTGTTCGATCGTGCTCAGCTATTGTAGTGTCAGAGCCATGATTTCTATCGAGAATCTGAAAGTTCGTTCAAGAATAATAAAAACGATATCTAGAGAGATGAACATCTAATATGTGACCTAAACATTTCGCTAAAATCAGCACCCGAAAAGAATCTGCTTGTTATTAAATACTTCTGCCAAAATGCTTTTAGCAGATTACACGCGAGATCTCTAATATTCTTTTTCCATGGTCTTCGTGATCTCTTCCTCGTCTCAAAGGTATAATATCGACAGTGTTTACGTGTATTATTTTTGACTTGTCAAAGGTAACTGGGGAAAAAAGAAGAGAACGAAAAGAACGAGTCGAGAGCACATCGACGAGAGGAAAAAATGATTTTGAAGTGTATAATTCAATTTTTTTCGAGCATTTATCTCTCTGTCCCTCCCCTGAGAGGTTCTTCTGTCATCAAAATATCAGTCAAACCGTTAACGAACTCCCCTCATGGATTTTCCTCTTTTTTCCTATCCCTCTTTCGTCGTTCATCGCTCGCGGCATTTGCCGTGCAATTAAACCGGAATAATTTTGAATTTTATTTTCGCTCGCAGTTGCGAGTCGCCATTGACGACGCACTCGACGCAGTTTCACCATCGATGTCCTACCCCGAATAATCGTCCGAATGGATCGCTTGGACACTCGAAACGGATTCGATCCAACTGTCCGCTAGCGAAAATGGTCCCTTTCAAATACGAGTACTTCTGTACCGAGGCTCCTTCAAAGAATATAAGTATATAAGTGTTCATATTTTGTCAATTACACGGATATTGATAAAAATTGTGTCACTTGTTCGTTCGTTTGGTATTAGTCAATTATTTCCTTTGTAATACGGATCATATAGGAGGAATATTTGGTACGATGAATCTTTTTTACAAAAATTTCCTGGCATAGTAACATGGTAATATGGTAATACGGAAATAATAATTAGCACAGTGGATACTGTATCATAAGAATTTGGCAATAGGGTAATATAGTAATACGGGGAAGAATAATTGGAACAGTGGATGTACTACTGCAAAAATCTGGTTAAGTTAGGTTAGGGTAAGAATATTTAGTATGGTGGATTTTCTACTATAAAGATTTGGTAATGTAATAATATGGTACTGCAGGAAAAATAATTAGAATGGTGGATCTTGTACTACAAAAATTTGGTAATAGGATGATATGGCATTGTGGAAAAAATATTTAGTATGGTGGATTTTCTAGTATAAAAATTTGGTACTATAATAATATGGCACTACAGGAGAAATAATTAGAACGGTGGATCTTATATCACAAAAATTTGGGGTTATGATAATATGGTAATGCAGTAAGAATAATTGGTATTTATAGTGGATCTACTTGTTCTTCTAAAAATTTGGTAAATTTAGATTTCTCTTTATTCTTAAACCACAAATTGGACGTATAAAGTTGAGGGACATTTTTGATAGGATGTATACCATTTTTCCATAACATTAATAAAATTTTTATTTCAGGGATAAAAGGTGTCTAAACGCTGAGCGTTACAAGCGAATTGATGAACGAATCAGGACACGTCGTGAGGGAGGATCAGTCCCGAGACACCATGAAGCAGCGAGTCCTACTGGCCCTCGCCAACTTGATCACTTCCTATGCATCTTTCTTGTAAGTCAACTCATTTTCAGGAGATGTTAAGTTAGAACTAGCTACCTTAATTTTTCTTAGAAACCACGTCCATTTGTTATCGTCCATCAATATCAAATTAATTTTAATTAAATCGGTTCTAAAATTGGATGCTCGTGTCGTACTAGAATAGCAGGTATTTTCACATTTAGACGCGAATATCCGATGTCTGAGCTGCATTCCAATAATCGAAAATGATATTGCAAGGCATCCATAGCAGCTTATGCAGAAATGTGCGTTCACCTCGTCGTCAAAGGGATACTCGATGAGGGTCAGGTAACAACGTCAAGAGTGATATGATCATAGTACTCTTTACGTCTCCTTGTAATCCCTCTACTTTTGCATTATCGTGCCTACATGTTCAATGAACGATACTTGATTAATTAAGAAACAAGCTCTCGTGCTTTTCTTTTCCGAATCGAATCGAATGAAAATTAATTATTTCATCTCGAATATGTATGATATTATCTTTCCAACTTTTTCAACGTATTTACAAACTATTCTTCATCACGAATAAAAAAAAAAAAAGGATAATATTACACTTCATAATAAATTTGAATACATTCTTCATTTTCTACGAAGGAAAATAGCGTTCACAGTTTCTCCATAAACTTTGTTATGAATTTTAAACTATCCTAAAAATCGAATGGATTTCAACGATAAGAAGGCTCTTGTAAAGATCGTTTCATCCCACTGGCAATTATAACAAAATCAATGGCATTACATAACAAACCTAACCTCGGGTCACGTTTCTGAACCATTACAAAATTATAGACGTGGAACTATAGAAATATCTAGGACAATGAAAATTGCGTGTCACTCACCTGATAACGAATACACTCGAGCTGATTAAGTTATACGATTGATCTTACAGGATGGGGCAAACCGAGCTCGAGATGCATTCTCCAGCGTCCGTTCGACGAGAAACCGTAAATGCAACGGTGGAATATTCGGAGTGGGACGGGCGTCGTAATGCAGATCGCTGGAACCCTGTTTGATTTGAACCCTCTTGTCAGATAATTAACCCAATTCGAACCGGTCGCTGAATAACCCTCCTTCCTTGCCGTTCTTCTCATAATTGTTCATTTCTCCGTACCACCGTGCGGACAATTTAATTAAGAATTTCCAAAACGTCGAAAACACTCGCTCGATACACTCGCTTCCTAAAGTGGCGTGAAGAAACGGATAGAATCGTTTCTCCTACCGATATCGATTCGTTTACCTATCGGCAGAGACTTATACAGAATTTCGATACCGGTGTTATATCATCGAAATACCAATACCGATCTCATCTCTATAGTCTGTCAAACTTGAGAACCGATCTTCGTTGCTACGCATTCTAATATTCTGCTCTGATTATAATTTATACTAGAATAAAATTGAATTTTTCTTGGTCTCCGAATTAATTTATTCGACAGAGTTTGATTCAAATCTTAAAAGGTGCGAGTTTCGAAGAAAGAAAGGCTTTACTCCAAGTTGTTCAAAGTCCACAGAGGTCTTAAGTTGCAGTAAAAATTTCCCGGAAATCCCTTAGAATCTCAAGGAAAACTCTGTCCCTTTATTCCCATGCACACATCTCTCTTCGATAATTCACCGCGAATTTTTAGTTCGACAGAGTATTTCGAAGACGAATTTTCCATTAACTTCAAACTTCAGCCAATTGCTCGTTGCTTACGTAAATAAAACTGTGTCCTCGCTGAACCTGAAAAGTCCAAAGATCTCGAAACTTCCAATCGACTTGCTGCCGAAAAATAATTCCCAAGAACTCAAAAACGGGAAAATCTCATAAGAAAAGTCATTGCGACTGACTCGAACCGGTGGTGGAAGGAAATATTCATCGATCTCGTATAAATCCAAGAAGGTCTGCGGTTCGCACAAAGGGTAGCTTGGTATTTACATAGAAGACTAGAAAGAGGTCGAGGAAAAAGTTAATCAGCCATGTGAAAGGAGGAATATCCCGTAGAAGCCGGCATTCGAATCGCTATTTGTCTCGCAAACAGGTCAGCCGTACTTTAATAATTTCAATATGTAAATCCCTGCACGAGCTTATCCTTTCTCGGCGTGTGTCTCTGCTACTTCATATTGTCGCGAGTGCCGGCCTGATGTATCTCCATTTGGTCGGAAGGAGCACGGGGGAAGAATCGGAGGATCGAAAGGCACGATGTCAGCAAACAAAAGCGACCGCTGTATAGGCGATAGTGGAAAATAGACTAGGCAGCAACAGCCTGGTAGCAGCAACGCGTCCGATCGAGCAGTCGTTTTCATCGTGACCTAAAAGAACGGACAGACATTAAAATGCCGCTTTATTTCGGTTTAAAAACGATCCGGCCGCAATTTTCGTTCCACCCCGGTCCGAAATTCCCTCGGCCCAATTTCCAACCCTCCCCGAGTATGTACACTGCCACTGTGGCGCGTGTACACACGTGCTGCTTGTGTCGCGAAACATAAACGAAACCGCATCGAACACGAGGGTGAAAGGGGGCGAAAGAGCGACGGGTAGCAAAAACTTCCATGTTTTCTGGTTTTTCTTTTCGACAGGATGAGAGAGTCCGATTCGAGTTGGAATCATGGAGTTTATTTGGCTTTGCCTGGACCTTGCACCGGACGGAAAATATTTGGAATTGGAGGGTTGAGGATTGTTTACGATTCTTCGGATTCTTCTTGCATTTAGAATGTTCCCGCGTTCCTTTTTTAAGGAGACGAATGAGAGTACGTGCTTTGTACGAGTATGCGAGAAAGTAATTTCGCCATAGAGACGAGAACAAATATGCCGAGTTAAAGGGAAAAGGGTTGTGCCGGGAAATGTTGGTTCGCTGATCAAAATGGGCTTGACAGAGAAGCGTTTTGGTTCATGGGACGAATCGGAGGATTTGTCTGCGGGATCACGGTGGAAAAAATAACTGTGCATACAGGCTTTTGAATAGTTTGGAAGATTGGAAGAAACGGGTCATTGATAGTCAAAGATTAGTATATCATAGACTAGTATTGTTCGGTGCTGTCAAACATGCGGGCCACGGAACCTCAGGTCGCAGCTTATAGACCAGAACTTGGAATTGGTTTTGCTAAAATAATAAAATATTTTATAATAAAATAAAAAAGAAAGAATAGAAAAAAAAAACAGACGTTTATGAAAAATTCGAGTAATAGAACAAGATAGACTGTCAATCTGATCATGTCTTATCCATGCATTCGTTTTTCTTTGCTGTCTAGTTTCGTTGAGCCAATTATACATTAAATGACTCGCAGACTCCCTAAAAGTGGCCTTTTTAAATGAATTATACTATTTAACGTGTCATTTGATCGTTATGTCGTTATTTATGTTAGTCATTGTACTAATGAACGTTAATGAACGGTCGCAAACGTCTTCCAACCTAGCCATAAAATATTTATAGAAATTTACAAATATCCTGTCATTCGATCATCGACCAAAAATGTTTCTAACCACAAACGACGAAGTCTGTGTCATTATTTACGTTAGTCATCACGCGTATGAACGTTAATAAACGGTCGCAAACATCTTCCAACCTGGTCGTAGAATGTCCATAGAAATTTACGAATATCGTTCAGGCTGTGTTGTCCACTTCTCCCTATTCATCCCTTGCACCACCCTAGCCACCCCTAGAATCCCTTCCGCAATAGCTGTGGCACACGGTAACTTTGGTTTGCGATAGTAGAGAACACTGGTGCGAGCAAACGTCCTCGATACCTTCAGGTGTGCAGGATACGGAAACCAAAACGGCACGACACGTGGTTCTCGAGGCTTGTCTCGCATATCGATGCGTTCACAGAGACGTGCACACCATTGCAGAGCAGCGTGCAAATGGATCGAAGATGTACGACATAGTCTACTCGAGGGTCGGAACCGCGATATTCCAACTAGTTGCATCGTAGTTTGCAGCGAGCTCGATCAGTAACAGGCTTCTACCGCTGTATACGCTAAAATTGACGGAATAATTAAGGCTCCTTGCGCAATTAGCAACGTCGAGGGATGTCAATTAACGACTCGCGGATTTGTTACTCGCGAGATGCGGCGAGCGATGACTTTATTAGGGTAATTGTGACGAGAAGAAAGGCGACTGAAAGTGGTCCAGAGTGTTGGGAATCGAGCAGAGTTTGGACTTTAAGATCTCGTAGTCTTTGAATCGTCGAGACTTTGAATTTGCGTATCCTCTGATCCTTCGATCCTGGACTGCTTGAATCTTCGAATCCTCTAATCTCGAACTTCTAAATTTTTAGCCTTCGAATTTTTGATCTTCGACTTATGGATCTCTAGTCATCGGATCCTTTGATCCTAAACCTTTCAGTTCTTGAACTATGGAATCTCTTTTCAGATCCTGAATCTCTGAATTTTTCAATTCTCAGATCTTTTGATCCTGATCTTTGAATATTTGAGTCTTTAGTTTTGAATATTCGAATCTTTAAATCTTGGGATTCTTTGACTCTAGATCTTAGAATTTTTGGGTCCTCAGATGCTTTGCTGCTGGACATTTAAACCTTTGAATATATAGACCTCCAGATCTTTGAATATCTATTATTTAGATCATCGAATTCTTAAATCTTCGAAATTTGGATCTTCGTATCTTTGACGAGAAAATTATGACAGGAGAACTAGATATTTAACCTGGAGTATCCTCGACTCTCTTATCAGTACGTTTGGCAGTAATAGATGGAACGTTTAAAAAATGTTTCAGGGCGGCTACAGGGGCGAAAACGTCCACGAGACAGAGGACACAGAGCAACAATCACAGCAACATCAGCGAGCTGCTGGACAATCTGCTTCGCGGTTACGACAACAGCGTCAGACCAGACTTCGGTGGTCCACCGGCCACGGTTGAGGTCGACATCATGGTGCGCAGCATGGGTCCGATTTCCGAAGTCGATATGGTTGGTATCTCCTTTCCTTTTGTTTCCCTCAACAACGACACCACTCTGCTACTTGATAGATAGCCCTACAATTGCTCGAGATCTCATTTATCGCTGTCCAACATGCTGCAAATTCGATTTCACTTGTTACATCATCTGACTATAAATGCATCCCAGTTCTAGTTATCGAAAAAATATGCCTTGTTGATAGACTTGTCAGACAACGTGATAGTCGTATCTGTACATCCATGGGATAGATAATACTGCTTATTGTTATTGTAGAATATTATAATAAAAAATAATAGGGAAATATCCTCTGCTTCTATCTCGTTAGAAATTAGGGATTGAAATGGCTATAGCAATCCAATAGGATTTTCCTCTCTTGTTTATGCAAAAAAATTACATTTTAATTTAATTATTATTTATATTAAATAGTATTTATTTAATTATTATACAATTAAATTTAATTTCGATATTAATCGAAAATGTCAATAAGGGAAATAGAATACATTATTATTTCAGGGTATCATATTAATAGAAAGTAAAAGGAAAATCCTTTTCTTTATTTTCTTTTACAAATTAGAAGTTTCTGTAGAATGCACATCTTTTCTACTGTAGTAGCTTAAGAGTATATTATTGTTTTAGGATATTATATCAATAAAAAGTAAAAGAAAGAATCTTTCTTTATTTTTATTTAGAAATTAGAAGCTTCTTTTGATTATAATTTTCTTCTGCTTCAATAGTTTGATCATATATTGTTATCTTGATACGTTATAAAAGAAAGGAATTCTTTAAAAATTAAAAGGTTCCATCGAATAAAAATTGATAACAGCTACAAAGACAAAATTTCTGTACAGACTTATTCAATGGACTGCTACTTCCGGCAGTCTTGGGTGGATCGACGTTTGGCTTTTCAAAGTGGCAAAGAAACTCTGGCGCTCAGTATATCGATGCTGGCAAGAATCTGGAAGCCGGATACATACTTTTACAATGGGAAGCATAGTTATTTACACACGATAACCAGTCCCAATAAGTTCGTCAGACTTTATCAAGACGGCCGAGTTTTATACAGTTCGAGGTGAGTAATTATATTTTATATAAATATATATATAATCATTGTTCGTAATTTTTACAATAATTCACGAGATTTGTCACCCATGATTCTTCTTCTAGTCTTCAAAGCGCACGTTTAAGCACGAAACCTCGAGTTTCTCAAATTTTAGGACGAATTTCTTAAATTTATAAAGCAATTGTCAAAGATTTCGAACGCGATGACAAATTGTTTTGTCTCGGGGACTTCGAATTGATTCGTCCGAATGCTGGGATGCCGAGATTAAAATTTTCTTGCCGGCAGGTAGAGCAGGAATTTTTTTGCTTAAGGAGATGCAGAATTCAAGTTTCTCGAGGCAGAAAGCCCAAGGTCAGGGCTTTCTTTACCCTTCATGCTTAGAAACTGAAATTTTTAATTCGGAACCTTCGTATGGAAGTGTTTTATCTTTAGATGCTCTCAAAACGTAGTTTTCCTTTATCGAAACAACCGAGGAAGAAGGTACTCTGCTTAGAGGAAACAAAAATTGCGCATTTTAATTGCAGAAACTGAAAGTTACATCTCCTTATCCTTTTACAAGAAAAAAAGGGATTAAATAATCATTAAAATTAATTAAATTAAAACTAGGTCAAACATAAATATAAATTAAGTATAATATAAGTACAAATTATAAATAAGTATAAATTAATTAATTACAATATTAATAAGTTATAATAAATATAAATTATAATATAATCATAATTACTTAAAAAGTAAGGTATAGTTAAAAATATAGCAAAAGATAGGTTTAAATTAAAATCATGATAGATTAAAGATAAATAAGATTGAATTGATAAAAATAAATAAAATAAATAAGATAAATAA